TCGGCGGGCCCCCGGCGTGCGAGGGCGACATCATCTGCTTCAACGGCTGGCTGAAGCTACCCATCCAGGACCCGCGGCTCTGTCCTCAGGGCTCCAGGTCCAGGATGAACGGCCGTACGCGAGCGCTGGTGCCGGTGCCTCGTCCCTCGGGGTTAGGGCTCGGCCTCGGCTACTACAACAACAGGAGCTCCAAGTCCTACTGCCCGAGAGCGGAAGGGATCGTGAGGGATGCCGTGAGCAAGGCCGTGGCCGCGCAACCTGGCATTGGCGCGGGCCTCATCCGTCTCTTCTTCCACGACTGCTTCGTTCGGGTACACACACCTCCTCGATTCTAGCTTACTTTCTTCGGCCCAAAATAAGTGTCTCAACTTTCTAATTGAGACGGAGAGGGAGTATATACTAACTGCATTGTTGTTTACGAAGATCAATATGTTCATTACGGAGGTGATGTCTTTCATGTTTATTATATTCAGGGTTGCGACGCTTCCGTCCTCCTCAAGACGACCAACTCCAACAACAGCGACACGGAAATGGAAGGCAACCCGAACAAGAACAGCCTGCGAGGGTTAGAGGTGATCGATGCGGCCAAGGCGAAGATCGAGGCCGCCTGCCCCGGGAGAGTCTCGTGCGCCGACATCGTCGCCTTCGCCGCCCGCGACGCCTCCTCCATCCTCAGCAACCGCAGGATCAACATCCGGATGCCTGGCGGCCGCTACGACGGCCGCGAGTCCTTCGCCGATGAGACCGACCAGCTGCCCGGGCCCTTCTCCGGCGCTACAGTGCTCCTCAACAATTTCAAGGCCAAGGGGCTCACCTCCGACGAAATGGTCACGCTCTCCGGCGCGCACACCATCGGCCGCGCACGCTGCGCGTTCTTCTCCAGCCGCTTCTCTGAAATGGACCCGACATTTGCCACCAAACTCAGGGCCCAGTGCAACGACGACAACACCAACGTGGACCAAGAACATGTGACCCCCGAAGTCCTGGATAAGCGCTACTACCAGGATGTGATTGACGGAAAAGCGTTGTTCACCTCGGACGCCGTGCTCAACTCGGCCGAAACAATAAAGCAGGTGACAGAAAACGCGAAAAAGGCAGGGGCGTGGGAGAGGAAGTTCGAGAGAGCCATGGAGAATTTGGGGAAAATTGGGGTCAAGACCAAAGCCGACCAAGGCGCAGAGATCAGGAAGGTATGCTGGAGAGTCAACAACTAACGTTGGGTAGGAGTACCTAGTAGAATGCATGGTGGTTAGCTGGCTCCATGGCGGGATTGCCCGATGGAGAAGATGTAACACTTTTCTGTCAATCACTTTTTAACAAGTGTCATTGTTTTCTTTATTTAAATTATTTAGATTTAGATTGCATACCACATGTATCACATGGTTCAATAAGTGTCATTATTGGTTTTGTCAAACTAATACTACTACTGCTACTACTACTCTACATTTGTGTGTAATAAAGGTACACTAAGTATACAAGTAACGGTGTATCTTCACTAATTAAGATACCAAATTGGTCATGGTGGCCAGCAAAGATGTAATCGTGACCTCGCATTTGCTCGCGATTTGTGCACACCAAGGTTTAAAGTTTCGTCAAAATTTCGATGGTGGGCAAAATTTTTGCCTTTAGTTCAAGAAATTTCGGTTGGTTTTAATTTCTATGTAAAGACAAACATGGATCAGATAGAATAAATACGAGTTACAGTAGAACAGATGTACGAAACTTTTCTTGATCAGTAGGTCAAGAGTTCGAATCATGTGCACAAACATTTTGATTAGTTTACTGAGTACTGAATGGTTGATAGATTGTTTTCTATCAGAACTCGTTTACACTTTGTATGCCGAGTACCCCTGAATTTACATCAGCAACGACAGTTCTTCCAATAGTGAGTTATACGTTTACAATAACTGAGGTAGTCCTAGAACGAAATAACAGGAAATACAACACCAGATAAGAGAGTACTATATATCACAGCGTTCACAAGCAAGCCATGTGTTTACAATAAAATACTCCCTCCATTCCATAATACAAGACCATTTTTACAAGCTAACATAGCTTGCAAAATGGTCTAATATTATACGAGGACGGATGGAGTACATGATTTGCCACATCTGAAACCATTCGGCGTGGAATTAATTGCATTAACTTTTAAGGGAAACTACTTGCACACACTAGTTGATCAGAACAGATTAGAAGTAATACGTCGGACAAATGCCACCATTAGGCGGAAAACAGTCATAATTAAGTTTGTACTCCCTCCATCCGAAAATACTTGTCATCAAAATGGATAAAAATGGATGTATCTAAAACTAAAATACGTCTAGATACATCCACTTTGTTCATTTTAATGACAAGTATTTCCGGACGGAGGGAGTACTACTGAATATGAAGTACTAAAACTGGAAGAGTGAACAGGCACTTTAGCGATGCATCAGTTCCCTCTACCACGCATACAAAGGACAATGCTGGTAAGCGCGGAAGGACAGCTTGCCTCCAGATGCTTATACCCCTCCGTTGCCACCACAAAGCGTCAAGGATCACAGGAGTGCTGATGATGAACTCGACACACCTGGCCTTGAGGCGCAAGCAGTTGTGCCGCTCAGCCAATGCCAGAGTCGTCGCCGCAGTGCTGACGGTGATGCCATGGGAGAGCCTGCCCTCGCACATGACTTTGAGCCTGTCTAGCCCGTACCTGTCAGCAGCCGCCAGCAAATGCTGCAGCCTCACGGCCTCCTGCTCGCCGTCAAAGTTCAGGAACTGTGTCCGTGTAGATGAAATGCAGCATGGCTTTTGTCAAATTTAAGTTTCTCGGTTTTCTAGAAACACTTGGACACTTTCCAAGTCAGTCCAGTTACTCCGGCTTTTTTGTGGAGTGCAAAAAAAAAAGCCAAGCTCACTTGTTCCAGAGTTTGTTGTTTATGTTTCTAACGATCAAGCCTTCTTTGACGCTGATGGGCATGGGCAGTCTTTCTCATCTTATTTCACAAGAATAACAGGCAAGTATATTCTAGTTAGCATTTACAAGCAAATGGATCTGGTAACATATCCATCCATTGGCATGGATCCTCAAACAAAGACAAATATATTATGTATGTGATCAACAAATCCTCGCTTCAGATCATCCACCAGAAACATTTTGGTTTCATTGCATCTTTCAAAGACATAGCAACATGTTTGGCAATAATTCTGATCAAACTTATACATACATTCAAAGGATGACATTTAGATTTATCCACATGTCCATAACAGTATATAAATGTTGAACAAGTATTTGAAAAAAGATCATGTATATAAAAAATGTTGAACAAGTACTTGAAAAAATGTTGATCATGTATATAAGAAATAGAATGAAAAACAAAAAGAAAAAAATAAAACCCAAAAAAATTAAAAGAAAAAAGAAAAAATGCAAAAAATAATGAAGAAAAGAATAAGAAACTTACATAAAAAAGGAGAACAAAAGAAACAAAAAAAAAGATGAAAAAAATAAGAATTAAAAAAGCTAGCGCTTTTCCCTTCAAGTAAGACGCGCCTCCTGTACTACCATTAACGCAAGTGTGGCATTTTATCACTGCGAGCCCTCGTTTCCTTCCTTTTTCTCTCATTTTATTACTACCGCTGGGCCGGCCCATTCTGTACCTGCTTTACGCGAGAGATTCCTTCCATCTCGCGTAAAGCGAGAAATAGTTGCCACGAACAAAGAAGAGCCGCACGGGCTAGAAGACAAAAACTTCCTCTTTTAAATCTCAGCTGGCAATTTTTATGGTTAATGAAAATTAATAATGGATATAAAGGAATGACATATGGAGAACTTAAGAAACCTTCCTCCCTCTAATATTAGGTATAGATATAGATTTTTGGCACACGTTGGATATTTTATCAATACATGATTAACAAGTTTAATAATACATGTTTGGGACGTTTTTCTGAATATTTGTAAAATAGTTTTTTCATAAACACATTGAACATTTTTCTGAATGGGACAAGTCATTATCTTTGAACTGCGAGAACATTGCTGTATTACATGATTTATTTTTATAAAATATCATGAACATACTCTTTAAACACATGAACATTATTAAAATGTTTCCATTTTTTAAATGTAAGAAATATGTTATTAAATTACGTGAACATATTTTCACACTGTATAATATTTTTTCTAATTTGTGACAATTTTTATTTTGAAATGCATGAACATTTTTTATTGTTACAAATGAATTTTTTTTTGTGAATAACTGAACATTTTTAATTCTTGCTGTTTGGCCTCAAAACAATTGTTCAGTGTGCAAAATCCTTCAGAGTTATTCTTCCTTATTCTTGAAAAATAGTTTACAGTCTGAATATACCAGCAGAAATCACTGATGTTTGAGGGGGGGACTGCCAACATGAATCTAGCAAGATTTTCACAGAATATGTTTGTCTTCGACCTAATACATGGCGGGGTTCGAATATGAATGGAACCATGTAGAACTGCTAACTGCATTTGGAATAGATTGGTCATCAATCATTTTTCTAACTTTGCTCGGTCGATAGTCTTCTGAGTCAAATTATACATTACCCGAGTTTGAACAATAAAAAACCTGTTACTATCAGACTATGAAACCGTTCTCACCAAGTCTTATCCAATTCCAAAGGAACCAAACAAGCAGCTGCAGTCTTATATGCAAAAACGAAGGGGCACATTCACGGGGATAACAAAACAAGCCTGGCATTAGATGATTTTGCACACATCAAGCATTTAGCATGAACTCAAATACACCAAATATAAGGAGCAAATGCAGGCGCATGGTAGTTGCTCGGAAAATAAATAGAAGTAGGATAGAGGCAAAAGGTACACATAATTAAAGTTCTAGTAAATCGTGCATCCAAAGGAAGTGACAAAATGCATCGACTGAATATTGGAACTTAAGCACCTACAGCTTCGTTTTCAGTGGCTTCTCCCACGCACAGAGAGGACAATGCTAGTAAGCACTGAAGGGCAGCTTGCCTCCAGATGCTTATACCCCTCCGTCGCCACCACGGCATTGAGGATCGCAGGAGTGCTGATGATGAACTCGACACACTTGGCCTTGAGGTGCGTGCAGTTGTGCTGCTCAGCCAAAGCCAAAGTCGTCGCCGCTGTGTCGACCATGATGCCACCGGAGAGCTTGCCCTCGCAGATCACTTTGAGCCTATCCAGCTCATACCTGTCAGCAGCCACAAGAAGATGCCGAGCCATCGTTGCCGCGGCCTCCAGTTCCTGATCAAGTCCAGGCATCATGTCGGTGTATATGAAGTGCAGCATGGCTTTGAAGGCTGAAGCCTCCATGTCCTCAATCACAATGCGTTGAGCGCTCATCTCCCTCATGTGCCCGAAGAACTCGGCCATGAGAACAGGGGACCTTGCAGCAAGTATGTTCTTGTGAGCAAGGAAGGACTCACGGAGACAAGGAATGTGACGTCCGCTCCCTTCTCGCTCTTGCGGAGATCACCAAGGTGCTTGTGCAGGTTGGAGGCCGGCACGGGCACCGTGGTTTCAATATCCATCTGTTCCTTCATAACTGTGATGCTGCACTGCACAGCCAAGTAATCGTCCATGGGACAGGTCGGCGGCCGTAGAAGTGATCTTTTGACGAGCAGGACTCCACCGGAGCAGTCTTTGTGGCACTTAAAACATGCGACACACTCATTTCGCCTGGTCTTTGGTACGGTATCTCCGGGTGCACCAGGTGACAGCTTAGGTCGGCCTTCACAGCGCGTGTGGGGGCTTCACTGAGGAACATAAGCCTGGACTCAACAAAACTATTGGCTTCACTGAGGAACATAAGCCTGGACTCAACAAAACTATTGGCTTCACTGAGGAACATAAGCCTGGACTCAACAAAACTATTGCCATACTAACGTGGATAGCAGTGGATCTCCCACTCGTATCCATCGAAGTCCCACCTGGATTTGATGCACTCCGTGTCGCCTATGGTCGAGGACACCAAGCTGAAATCATTGATCCTGAACTCCTGCAGCAAGCGCACGCTGCTACCCGACGTGAGGTCCTTTGGCATGGCCAAGGCTGTTGGGGAAGTGGAGGTTGGAGAGACAGAAGTGGAGGTTGGGGGTGAGAAGATGATGGATTTGATACAGAAGGGCAGGGCAATTTATACAGCAGGGGTTGCAATTAAAAGCAGCAAGGTGGTGACTCCTCGGGTGGAGGCGCCGGCATGCATGGGCGTTGGAAGTTGAAAACGCAAGTGATCAATCAATGCAGGATATGAACCAGAAGGGTTTGCTGGGGAAAAGCACAACTGCACAAGTACTAGGATGTTCCTGGTTCTACCTAGACGTTGACGTTAATATTGATGGGTTTCACTAGTATAGCTGACTCCCTCTGTGTACTTTCACTGACGGGGCAAAACCAGGAGTACAGTCCAACAAACAGAGGCAGGAAAAATGATCCTGTAGACTATAATGGCTTGTGAGAGCGCATCAGGACGAACGAACATGTAATGCACAAGCTCGGATTCAACAGAAAAAAGGAAGACTCCGTGCACTGTCTTTCTATAACTGAAAAATTGCTGCTGCTTTTCCGAATTCTTAGCAGGCGCATAATCGCATGGTTTTACTTTACCCTCTAAAAAGCAAAGCGCCCGGGGATATGCATCTCTGTTAGTAATCGTCTGGCAGACTCAAGTCCAAAGATGGTAATATCATAAAACCGTTTAGAAAGAAGCAGGTGAAAAGTACATCCACTTTTGAGAAACAGTCAGACAAAGTAATTCAAGAGTAGTCTGCAATGGATCATACAGAAGAAGAAAAGGCGTACACTGTTCCTAAACTTAACCAGGAGGCCATTTCATCTGCCTTCCACCGAGTACATGCACGTGCAGATGATACACTGATTGACCTGTGAGCAAAACAGTGGGCAGCATTAGCATAGATGCTGAAAAATACCGTGATGAGAGGAGCAGAAAGAATTATTGGGGGTAAGATCTGCAGCATGAGCTTGCTTACATCCTTCTCCTCCGTTGTTTATGACGACGCGGAATCCATCTGCTACGCCTTCCTTCTCAGCCACTACCTTCGCAGCGTAAAGCAGCTGCCCCAAAATTTCAGCATGCCTTGGTTCAGCCTACATGCATGTACTTTGTATAAATAAGGTGGCATACTGGAGATGGAGGACTACTCAGGTTAAAATTACTAAGCTTGGTCAAAGAGTCAGCTGGAAGGGCATTAACATGTACTAAGATAAATCTTGCCATAACATAGCATTTTACATGTTAATCTTCTTGTCTGCACATAGCTCATAAGTAAGCAGCAGAACCTACCTTGTCAAGTCCAGTTAGCCCATCTCTTAGTTTTGGGATGACTAAAACATGGACAGGAGCTTGTGGATTGATATCTCTAAATGCCAAGACTTTCTCATCCTCATAGACAATGCTTGAAGGGATTTCCTTTGCAATGATCTTGTCAAAACTAACAGAAATGAACAAAGGAGAATATTCAGAGCCACCGAAAAATATTAGAAAGGCGTAAAATGGGCAAGCTTATCGGAGATTTACATGGTCGGTCCTCCAGTATCAGCAGTCGCTGCCGCTGTTTTGGCAGCAGCCTCTTCATTTGTTGATGAAGCAATATGGCGCGCAAATCTAGTGTAGCCGGGAATTTATAAAAGACAATATTAGTTAAGGACCATACACTACACAGGTCTGGTCCTCCTTGGGACTGCCGGCTCCGACCTCCCTTGATGCTCTGCTACAACACCCAACGATTCAGGGCCTCAACCCCAATATCTGGCCTTCGGTGGCGCTGACCATCTCTTGGAAACTATGGGACTCGAGAAACGCTCTCGTCTTCAGAAACGAGGATCACTCCCACAGAACCACGATACGAAACATTGTTGCTGATTTCTCTCTATGGGTTTTTCGGTTCAAAAAGGAAGCAGACAATACCTCCGCTAGGCAATGGCTTCACTTTCTCTTCAGCTGTACCCTAATGCTCTTGTTGTAACCGAACTGCTGCTGTAATTCTCGACTCCTCTTTTGAGTGGTAATATATTCAGGTGGGGAAGCTCTCCCCCCCGTGACCGTTCAAAAAAAAAAAAGATATAGACTTAAAATATACTCCCTCCGTTCCTAAATATAAGTCTTTTTAGAGATTTCAATATGGGCAAGTTAAAGCAAGTTCAGACAAATTTCAGGTAATTACAGATTGCTTGTGTGTGGAATAAAATTTCACAGGATAAGGTGCAAAGGGACTGTTATGAGCGATATTGGATTAATTCCCATATGTGTATGGGCAGTGGTGAATTCTGAACTGAAATGTTAATTACTAGTATATCATGATTAATTGGGATTCAGTAATGGCCTTCTGTGAGAAAGGATCAGCGATGGCCCGTTGTTCCTTGTTGCTTACACAAGAGTGAACAACTTCAAATGCATCTTCAGGGATACTCTGTTGACTTTCTATTCTGACCAAGGTGTTAACCAATTCTAAGTTCCTAACAAAAAAGCCTATACCGGAAATTTTCAGGGGATGAAATTCATCTTGGGCGGGTCTTCGCGGCTCACTAAGTCGATAACTGCAGAAATGTTCTATTTCTATGCATCTGGGAGTTGCTCTAGACACGATCAAGTTCTAAATCCGTTGAATGTGGCATTGAGATTCTCCAACATTTTCAACTATGTCTGAATTATTTCAAGCAGGTACATGCTTCAGACGCCAGTAATCACTAAAAATCAGAAGAAACAGCAACGTCGCACAAAACTACCCCTAGCACTACCACCTATGAGACCTAACCCTGACCCAAATCCCCGATTGAATTACACGGGAATCGCGGGGCCAGTAAGATCTGAGATACAAGAAGACACCTCACCTTCGGGGAGCGAAGTCGCGGGAGACCCGGAGCGCGTGCGGCCGCAGCAGGGGGGAGCGCCTGCGACAACAGGGAGGAGAGGGCGTTCGATTGGACTGGACAGGATGCGATATCTGCTCGACTGGACTGAAGGGGGCGCAGCTAGAGCTTACCGGAGGAGGGAGGAAGTGGCCGCCGCCAGCGTCGCCGCCGCGGCCGTGGCCGCCATTGGAGACAGGGTTGGGAGTGAAAAGGCTGCGGCCGTGCGCGTGCGGGGATGCTGTTGCGCTGGGGGCTGGGGTGTATCGGTGCTATCGGCCGCCCGATGGAACGTTGACGGTCCAGATGGAGCGTGATGTCCGTCGTGCACTAAAAATGGGATTTCTGTTTTTCCTCTTCTGAACTTAAATAGTTCATTCATTTGGTCCAAGATAAATGAGCCGTGCGTGTAGCAAAAGATCAGAGGATACTTAGACACACAATCAAACATTGTGTTTGTACTAATGCTCAAAAGAAAAAAACATCATCATGGTTAAGATCTTGTCCAACCACCTTTGATAGCTATAGATCACAAAGGCATGTGTTGCCGCGCCCGCCCATCTTGAGTATAAAACTTGCACAGTTAAAATCTCCCGTAAGATTTAGACAATTTGAATTACAATGGATCGATGTAGGTTGTGGTACATATTTAATTCAGAACAAATGCACTCATATGAATAGTTCCTTTTTACATTTTCTATACACCACATTCATGAAAAGATGCAAAACAAATGGGTGGAGCCAAAAAGAAATAAGATGATATCCTCTAAAGGCTAGCATCTTCTACAGCCGCACAAAATTCAGTTGTAATAGGAATGTCATACATGGGGGTGGCTATCTCGTCAAGTTTTAAGCTTCGGCGATTCGCTGGCCGACACCGGGAACGAGCTCGCGGGCACCGACAACGGGGTTGCGAGCGTGCCGCCGTACGGCGAGACCTTCTTCCTCCCTCTATCGCACACACAGATAAGGCGATGTTTTTAAACTACGTCACGGAAAGGGAGTAAAAACCGTTTGTATAAGATCCGCCTGCACTAGTGACTTCATCATTTTGTCAGACTCCTCGATGATGAAAAGACGCTGTAGTCTTCTTATGAAATGGATATACCGAAGAACCTTTACGGGGATGGCTATCTGCTTCTTCTGACCATCAGTAATGTCCACCTCAAGATACCTAGAGAAACTGCACTCCCTATAGTACTTATCATTCACATACTCGTTTTTAAACAAAAGGCAACTCTTTGGACAAACATGTATCTTCTCATAATCCATAGAGAGCATCTTTGTGATTTTCCACGTCTCGTACAACGCTAGTAAGGTTTTCTGCACTAATGAGATGTGAAAATATTGAGATCGAATTAGAGTTATGTCTTGCTCACCTCGATCGATATGACAACGACGACCGACGGCGGGATGGCGGCGACAGGATGGCAACGGGAGAGGCGAAGAGGGCTACGACGGCGGCGGCGAGCTCGATTTGCGGCGGCCGGGATTTGAAGACCAAA